CAGCATCTGTTACCGTGGAGACCTAGCTCCGCAGCATCAGTTGCCGTGGAGACCTAGCTCCACAGCATCAGCTACCATGGAGACCTAGCAGGTAAAAAGAGAGACACCTTTGTAACACTGAAAACTTTGACTTTAGGCTCAACATACCTGCTAGCTCTCCCTTCGCAGTACAGCCCTCTGATCCAGAGACACCTGCAGAGAGAACAAAACACAAACTGTTATCTGAATGACTTTTTGTCATTTCAAAGTCAGATAAATGACTCCAGAGGACTGATCACTTATTCAGGGGCATGTATGAACATGTTTGAATGTAGCTGATTTCAAGTTACATTTGGTCACATAAACATGTTTTCTCTGTTTCTGCTCTCAGAGAAACAGAAACACAACCACCAGGATTCAGTACAAAGTGTTGCTGCTCATCCATTCTGTATGTTGACTGACAGTCGATATAAATCCAGAACAAGTATTCGAAGGTTCCCAGTTTTTCACTGCAGTTTTTACAGTTTGGTTGCAGCTCATTTGCAGTAAAGACATGCCACTTGATTAGATCTGCTCTGAGCTGTTTTTGAGCAGCTTGTTGTGTTTTTTGGCAGCTTAAAAAGGGGCCACCGGTGCCTCCACCACCAAAGGTCACCCCCACCAAAGAGGTTGCAGAGGAGCAGATCATTGACCTGTTTGGGGGAGAATTTTTACCAGCACCTTCACCATCGCAGGTATGAGTCCACACAAATAGAGACAACCAACATGAAGTGTGTGTCGGAACACCTGTTGACCTGTTTTCTCTTGTTGTCCACAGCCCAATGAACGACCAGGAGAATCTCTGCTCGATCTAGACTTCGATGCTTTTCAGCCAGATGAAAGCGTTTCTCCAATACCGCAGGTTTTCTTCAGCTACTCGCCTGAACATGTTTAGAACACGAACACAACACAATAAAGAACTGAGGGTAGACTGACCGAGTGAATTAGATCAATCCAACAAAAATATTTATTGATTTTGAGCGAGTAAAGTGGAACTCAGGGCACACTGGATATCATACAGTACTACACAGTAGTACACAGTCATAGTGGTGTGTAGTGGCAACCGTATTTATTTGGGGGAGGACTTGTATCCAGCAATGTCCACAGGGTTTGTGCTTTACTTTCTGCTCATATCAGAGCAAAATACAATACAAATACAAACAAATAATGTATTAATAAGTGAAATATTGTGTCAGAGAATATGATCATTATTTTATTGAACTCTGTAGATGGCATCACGAGCTGTTAACAAGCTAAATGAAATATGTTTTATTTACATCGGAAGCCACACTGACATGATGCGCTCTGCCTTTTCAGACAGCTGTACCTTGGGATATGTGGTCGGTGAGTAACGTCTTTCTGCTTAAGGACATCATTGATGCTGTTGGCACACAGTCATTTACTGCTCGTTCTGAAACTTGTCCTACTTGGAGATTAAGGGATAAGTGAACTAGTTAGGCTAGTCAAGCCCCTTTAGAAATGAAAGATTTTCTAATAGGAAATGAATCAATGCAACAGATCAGTGGCTGTGTGTGCTGACACAAACCTTTTTTTGCTTTTTAAAGGCCAATGCCCAAGCTGCTCAGCCTGTAAGTACCCACAGTTACACATGTTCATCTACAGCCGCCGTCAGTCTTCACTCTGCAGCACATCACTGCATCTGCAGTCATCCATTGTTTCGACTCATGTCCTCGTTAAACCAGTACTGTTTGCACAAAGGTACCACTGATCAACCAGTTTTCACTGTCTTTGAACACGTTTGTTTGCTTTGCTTATTTTCAAGATACGATTTGCACAACTTTGATTGAGGTTCATTATTTTTGTCTGCTAGTGGACGTAAATTTGTCTCTGATGGAGGACAGCTGTTGCTCATGATACCTGTCCTTCTCTGTACACGTCCAAAACAAAGCAAACTGCCACAAATACACCTGTTCACTTGCTTTGCACTGCGTGGTGAGCGCTGTACCATCATGCTGATGGTCATTTTCTGTCCTTTTCAGAGTGTCCTAATTTACCCAGAATTCCCAGTAAATCAGTCCGTGTGAAGGCAGCTGGAGCTCAGACTGCTGACACCTTTACAGCCATGATCAGTGTTTCTTTGTGCAAGCAGCCTGTAGATTCTTTCATCGTTACTGTCTGCTGCACTCGGTGGGCCGCAGCCAGCAGGGGGCGAACTTTAACCTTCACTCCCTCCCAAGCAGGCTGCAGATTCTGGCTTCGTTGCTGACTGGGCTGCTGACTTTGGTTCAATGTCAGCAAATGGAGATGCTGCTTCAGGAGTCGAGCCCCCTGCTGCCCCTGCTGCCCCTGCTGCCCCTGCTGAAGAGATGCAGGGTGGGGCTCAGAGCTGGCACCAAGCAGAAGGCTGGCAGCCGGGTGGAGAAACGACCACACCCATCCAGGACAATGAGGCCACAGCAACTGAAGATGAGGTTAGCAGCCCGGATTCTCAGACTAACCCCAATCTTCATCCCTATGGTGCTGATGAAGATGAGACAGGGCAGGCAGATTCAGGGGGACACTTTGTGGGGCACGAAGACCGTAGGAAGTCCACCCCAGGACTTCTATTCACCAACGAGTTTGGTGAAGAGATTGAGGACAGCACAGAGGTCACAGGAGACAAATGGTGCAGGTCTCCAGAAGGGTCTGTGTCTGAATATGAAACTGCTGAAGAGTGGGGTGACGGAGGTCAGGGGGGAGGCTGGGTGAGCGCTGAGGATGAACCTTCATATGAAGATCATCCCTCAGCAAACACCGCCAGGTTACAGGCTGGTGGAGTTGATGGTGTAGCAGCAGAGCAAGGTTCACAACAAAGGGATGCCACAGACAGAAACAGAAATAAATCATCTGAAAAAGAGCAAAGAGAACAAGCTGACGTGGCATCAGTTCACAGAGATCACTCTAAAAGTCTTGGGCAAGGAGACAACAGAGTGTTTTCCTCTCAAACACAGGCAGGAGGTGCGTTTGATTCAGATCCTTTTGCTGAAACACAGGCAGGAGGTGCGTTTGATT